GCATCCCTCGGCAGCTGAGAGCGCCACTCCACACCCAAATACTCATCCACACCGGGCACCACTCCAATTCCAGGTTCCTCGGTCTCAGCAACTCCATCAATACCGCACCACAGCACGCAGAGGGCACACACCAGCAGCACACGGCCAGTCATCATTGCCATCACTCCTGTCACTTGCGTGTAGCCCTCACTACAAACTAACTCCCCGTCAACGCAGAGTGAAAGCAAAGGAAAGAGAGACAAGTCACACAGCCACGCACCGTCCCATCCAGAAATGAGAGCCACGCACCACAACAGCAACAATTGGGTGGGCGCGGTTCAACAACAATCTAAAAAAAAAAGAAGAGCGCTCCTCGACGTGCACCGTTCCTCACATCCCCACAGTCACTGTTGCTGTTATTCCCTCTCCTCAGGCCCTCACAGGCACGCCACGCTCACTTCAACACGCGCCCCTCCACCACACGCAGCCGTCATGCGCTCCCGCTGCGCCGCAACGTCCGCCACCACCTCCTCCCTCAGTCAAAAAGCTCCGCGTCCTCCACGTCCCTCACAATCGCCGGCATGCCCCGGCCGCGCAACACACACAGCGCAACAACGTCGTGCCGCCTCTCCTCCAGAATCATGAGCGCTACGTCCAACGCGTACTGGCGCACGTGCTCCATGCGCTGCAACCACACGGCCGATCAGGTTGGCCGTCATGCGCTGCATCTTCTTGTCCTCCTTCAGCAAACCCTCACATCCTCTCAATCCACAGTTTGGGTGCTGCGAGAGGCTGCCGAGTGGTGCCACGTGTGTGGAAGAACCAAATGTGCGGAAACAACGGCCACCCTCACTCCATCACACATCTCCACAACCTTCACTGTCCCGCACACCCACAAGGGCGGTGTCATGGGGAAAGAAAAAGACGCGCACAGCGCATACACGAGGACACATGCAATAGCAACGCCATCCACGTCGCACCGCAAGAAAAAGCCATGCGCACACACACGGCGGCAACGAGAAGGACGGGACGCATCCAACTCCACGGCTCTGTCCTTCACTTCTCCCTTCCCCGACGGATTGGCGTCCCACACTCACGGTGAGGCACGGCGCACACAGTCCGCTCTACTCCGAGTGCACTCAGCAGGCCGGCGCCCAGTCACCCTCGTGCCATCGCAATGGGGAACGCAAACAATCGTCGTCGCGGACCATCGGTGCCTCTAGCAGGAAAGAAAAAATGAGGCATGTCAACAGCACAGCCAGCAAAGGGACACTCAACGGGAAGCAGAGACGCAAAGTGACAGCAGATACGGTAACTACAGAAACAAGCCGCAGGGATCAAAGAAACAAAAACAAAAAAGACGAGAGTCCGGCATGACTCCCAAAAGCAACAAATTAATGGAAAAATTGATTTTGCAGGACTTTTATTTCATGTGTCGACCACAACAATACGGCTGTGTGTTTGTGTGTATACATATTGCCCGCACCAAGAAAGAGAAGGGAAATTAAAATAAATAAAAAAAGATTGCATTATTATTTCACCAGCCCACACAACATCCCCAACATTTCACGCGGCATCCGGCCTGTTCTTCCAATCCTCGTTCCGTGCAGTCCGTGGGACTCCACAGCCGCGGGGCCGGCACCGCGTGTGGGCAAAAAGAAAAGCAAACAAGAGGGGGAAACACTTCGCTCATTACAGTTTGCAGCAACCGGACATTACGTAAAGAAAAAACAACAGTACTTATTACTACAGCTGAACTGCATTAAAAAAAACATTTAAAAGTAAATAAATAACGGTGGCGTAAAAAAGCGCGGGCAATGCGGCATGTATTTTAGGTGAGGCGTCGCAAATCCACACACTGTGGCTCAGAAGTCTGCCACCACCGAAATACAATCCCAGAGGAAGCAGCAACACACAAGACAGTCACTCACGCACGGTGTTGTTACCGCCTAAATCACGCAGTGTCAATTTCACGTCGTTGAGAGAGGCGAGACGGTCGTCAGGACTCACGCCGCTCCAGACCCTGAAAGGCGACTGTTTTTAGTGGGGACTCGTTTCCAGGGGCATTGCGTTGTGTCCATTCATTTCTCTTCGGTAATATCCCCAGCAACGTGCTCACTGACGCTGTCAACTACTCGAATCCTCTCGGGCGGTGTCGGGGCCGCTTCTCTCGTCGGAACGGGGACGCTGTCCTTGAGTGCACGCATCGCAGTGAAGTTCAGTGGGCGGCTGCACAGAAAGACGTCCGTCACCGTCAAACGAGATTCGTGCCCACCGCACGCGCCAAAGCGAACCCTCAGTACCTCAGGTGGCCTCTCGCCTGCTAACAGCACCTCTTCCTCCCCCAGCGACCGACCATCAATGTGCACAGAGGCCTTGTTGCATTGCAGCATGAGTCCCACTTGGTATTCTTTCCTCGGCTTCCGATTGCTGCTCCGTGTTGTTGTCTTGCCTTCGAACGCCGTCTCCCACTTCTTATTGTGGCTGCACGACAGTCCCATGGTATGATTGGACGCAGTGTGCGCCAGCACCGCAGTCAGTCGAGGAGTGTTCCCACTCGGAGTCTCTTCGATGGTCACCGACGCCACAAGTGTGAAGTCGTGGCTCAAAGATACATGACGCACTTCATCACCCCGAGTGTTCACAGGCCATATTGCCCTGGAGTCAAGTCCCGTCACTTGTAACCCATCGCTGTCCTTCACTGCGTTCCTCCACCGTTGCATGCAGGCAACGGTACTCGTCGTTCCACGTGTCATCACTGGCCGCATCGAAAAACAACTGCCACCAGACCCGCCGTGGGTGTAGACAAGCTGGAGAAGAAAATGTCCTTTTGCACCCAAGTACTGAGGACGGAATTGATTGCACTCAGTTTCTCCGTCAGGCGGGAAAGTGAAATGACACCGCATTCACCGTTGCCCCTCCATCGTAAAAGATGCAAACTGCCATCCGAGTGCAGCAGGGTCCTGGCGAGCATCCAATCCGCAGCATTGTCCACGGCAACCGGTCCAACAGAAAACGTGCGGTTGCTGTCCGTGACCCAAAGGTAGAGCGCAGTGGCCCTTTCCTTCACCGAGGCATGCCCTCTCTGAGTGCACAGCATGACCTTCCTTCCCTCAATGGTCGCGGTCATGAGGACATCCACACGCAGGCTTCCTTCTGAGGGACTCCTGATCGTGCGTTGACCCACACGGCTGAGAGTGTCCCGAGTGCCTCCGTCCACGCTGTCTCATGTCACGCGACTCGTACACCCTCTGGCCACTCTCGCAGTCAACAATCATGAGAAGTGATCCCTCCCATTCGGTGACGCGGGGGTGGTAGCATTCCGCAAGGGAAATGTCCCCAAAGAGCGTCCAGATACTGCCGTTGTACGTCGAGTAAATGATCATGGAGCAAACGTCTTCTGCCTCATCCTTCGCCATCAGAGGAAACACAAACGTGCCATCCTCCATCACAACACCTGCGCCACCAGAAGCAATGAACTCCGTCCATTCACCTTCGTGAGAAGCAGAAGAGATCAGTTTCGAGAGTGGTTTGGGGTCGCCCCATTCGATCCGTCCACTCTGCTTGCCACCCGTGGGATTCGTGACATCACCCACAACCAGTTTCAGCTCCAAGCCGCCCTCTCTCCAACAAACACCTTCGTAGGACACATCAGAGCCTCCCGCAAGAGGAAACACTCCGTGGCCCTTCGTGATTGTTGTGGGGCGGAGCACAACACCCAAACTCCCCTTTCCCTCCGCTGCACCAAGCACAGTGTGTGCCCTCCATGCATCCTTCATTGACCTCACCAACGAGAGCGGACCAATCCCACGCAGAGCCAATGCACCCCGCAACAACATCAGAGGAAAAGGGCTTACTTAATTGACCACCTTGATATTCGGCATCCATGTGACCCTCGACGAAAGCAGCAATTACTCCACCAGCACTGACGAGAGAGGGTGAGGCAAACGAATCCCTCGTCGTAACTGGAACAATCCCATCCTCCGAATGCACCAGCGTCGTCTGCGGCACAAAAGGATCAACTCCCTGCAGTAACTCAACATTTATTGAACCACTCATCGCATCATCAATGGGATCCTCCTTCGGCTCGGTGACAGGCGTGGGCCTTTTTTCGGGTGGTGTCGGAGCCACTTTTGTGTTCCGAACAAAGGCAAACTCAGGCCTCGTCTCGGACGTGTTGCTCTCCGTGATGGTGCGGGACTCGGATCGACGGTGTTGGGTGCGTCAGCCGCGACAGGCTGCCGCCAATCCTCGTTCTGACGTGACGGCTCAGAATTTACTTGCGGCGCAGTTTTCCCACCAGATTTTGTGTCATCCTTCCCTTCACGGGGTGGCGGCAACTGACAGATGCCCGTCCGGTCAGCATCGCTGCTCCGTGTAGGCGAATGGATGGCTCCATCGGGAGAATATTGACGCCACCGCAATTCATAAGGGCCGGCGTATTTATGTGTCGTCACATTCATCGTGAAGGCAACGGTGGCCCCTTCCTCTTTCGTTGCACAGCTGGCAGTACAGTTGCTACATGTGTGCACCGCATTGGCCACATGGCACACAGCACCCAGCTCGCCATTCCTGCTATGCATGCGCACATCAAAGCCACTGAAAGTGTAATTCTCACGCTGAGCCTCGGCACTGGCAGCAGAACACTTCCACGCCCACAAACACCCACGCACGCGATAGCTCAGGCTGCCGTCACTCTGTGCACACGACACATCCACCGGCACAACCACCGCATCCGCATCACCAGACACATGTCCAGCACTCCCAGCAGCCGTCACATCCACAGAATTGCAGCAGCAATAAAAGGGCGCAAGGACCAACACGGAGCCGCACCGTCACCATCGTCATCATCGCAGTCATCATCACCCGTAGTGGAGTCGCTGGTGTCAGTGAGCTGATCCGTGGTACAGAAGAAAAAGGAATGGAACAGGAGGGAGAGGGACGGAGTGCAGCGGATAAAGCGAGTGAGAGCAGAAAACATGAGGAGAGGGCAGCAGGCCCAGCCGCACAGTTCACACACCACGAGACGGCATCCACGCAACGAAGGCACACAACGCCAGCAGCCACCCACCATGCAGGAGGAGAAGACATCCACCACCATCTCCCCCAGCTCATCGCCACAGCCCCAGGGAAACGGCAAAAACACCGCGGCCACCACACCAGCCACACGCGCAAGCGAACCCTCATCCGTCCATGACACGGCACCAAAATTTCCTGCCATCCCGCCCTCAATGGGACACGGAGCCCAACTCAGCGCAGCCACACGCGGTGCACCACACCCGCAGGAAAAGAGACTCGGGGTGCGCACTCCCTCTCCGCCCTTCTCCTCATGGCCACGGAAGAAGACAACAGCCGCCACACGCAACTGCCAGCATGCACCACAAAAGGAGCATTCATATCCACTGCAATGTGCATCTTGTGTGGTTGTGTGTGTGCCTGCAGAAACACAAAGCAAAGAAGTAGAAAAGAGGGAGCAGAGTATGTGGAGGGACGCACAAAAATGTACAGCAGAGACGCATGGCGGAAACAACAGGAAGAGGACCGCTCAAACTCATGACTGCACTGCAGCCCAAGCAGCGGCAATCCACAAAAGAATTATTTAAAACAAAAAAAGAACATCCCCTTCGTCTTATGTAAACCCCATCACACAAAATAATTATAAATAAAAAAGAAATCGTCCATTACTGTTCCACACAAATTTAAAAATCGCCTGGCTGCCGTGTGGCCACACCAAACTGTCCGTATATATTTTGCCCGAAAAGAAAATTAAAAAGATGGTTGCGTGTGCTTCAACCGTCCGACCCTCCATGTGTCCGCACATCGTTTATATTTCATGGGGTCATCTGCGTGTTGCTGCTCCCCTCAGCCCTCTCATCGGCGTGCGAGTGCGGCCCGCAGAGCACAGTCACTCGTGTGTGTGGGGACTGAGAGAAGCACGCAGACATGACGGGAGTCGCGTCACTCCGTCGGGAGTGAGCGCAGCAAAAGAAAAAAATCATCAGGAGGGAGAGAAATGATGACGGGACTGCCAGCGCGTGAAATGAAAAGAAAAGAAAAGAAAAGAAACAAAAAAAGAAAACCACGGCGGCAGGGCGTGGCTGTGTGTGTGTGTGTGGCGCTGCGGGTGTCTGCCCGCCCTGGCCGCAAAGAAAACAAAACAAGAGGGAAGAAATGTGTGCTCCGCCCCACAGGCCCTCGTCGCACGCCCACACGTCACGGCTCCCTCAGCGCGCCGTTCGTCGCGGCCCCTCCTCATGCGTGCAGCAGGCGAGGCGCACAGGGCCGTCGTCATGGGCGTGCCGGTGGGTGTGCGAGTGGAGCGGTTGGGCGGCAACACACGGCACCCCTCGCAGGAAGAGTGCAGAAGAAACAATTAAAAGAGGGAAGAGTAAAAAAGAAAAAACGTCCACAGTGATTGCCCCCAAAAGCAAAAAAAGAAGGGATGGGGGAGAGATAAAAAAAATAAAAACAAATTAAAAACGCAAATAAAGCAAGAAAAGTAAATAAAAGTTATTTAGGAAAAGAAATTCATGGCCAGGTGTGTGTGTGTGTCGGGCAGCGGAGGTCGCAAGTGTTTTCACACGGCAGCCAGTCACTCCTCACAGAGCTGCAAACCCCCACAGTCCCAACAGAAGGAGCAGCGATGGCAGCAGTCCGCTCTCACGCATAATGCCGGCATCATCTCTTGCTTCTCCAGCGGCATGGGAGTTCGAAGCCGCCGCCTTCTCTACACTTCCCTGCGATGTGGTCGCCGGAACTTCTTGTGTAGTGGCAGATTCCTCCGCCGTTGCATTTTGCCCTTTGCCTTCGTGTTGAGGCTGCTGCAAGGTCGTTTGCCCCACCGGAGCTTCAGGAGGTATCGTTGCAGGAGGCGCCGCATTTTGATTCCTTGCCACAAATGGAGAAGCAGGCTCCGCTGATGGTGAATCGGTAACTTCTTCCACCTCGGCATTCCCACCTGAAAAAGTCAGCGGGCGGTTGTACAGCAGGACGTTCGTCACCGTCACAGACACCACTTCACGGCTTCTTGTGTTGTCTGCACTGCCACCATCCCCTCCAATGTAGAAGTGCGAGATCCCTTCCGAATCTGTATTTTTCAATTCACATTGCGCATCCTTCCCCAGACGTTTACCATCGACGTACGCGGAGCCATGGGTGCCGTTCCGTAGCACAATGGCCACTTGGTGTTTTGTCCCTCGCTTCCATGTGCTGCTGATTTCCTTGTTTTTTCCGCCACCGCACAGCAATTGCCACTTATCTCCGCCGTTGTACGACAGTCCAAAAAGTTTTTTTCCCCCGTTACTGCCCGCACGCACACCCAACAATGGAATGGGGGTATTTCCCTTCGGCTCACCGTCGATGGACACCGTCGCCACAAGAGTGAACTTGTGGTTCGCAAAGTGGTACAGCTGATTCTGCCCTTGACTGCCAACAGGCCACTCCGCCCACGCTCCCCGGAACTTCACGCCACTATCCACCTGCTCCGCCCCTTCTTTATTATTCACTGTGGCGTTCACCCCGAGGTACTCGTCCCTCCATGTGTTCTCAGAGAAGTTGCCGGACAAAAAGCCAACCAGCCCATCCACCGGCATGGCAGCACTGCAGGCAGTTTCACTTGAGGTAACCTTCTCAGAGGTGCACATCTGGGAGACACGTTCGTCCACTTTCTTCCACGTCTTCAGCACCTCCTTCACCTTCTCCAGCTGCGCAGTCAGACGCGCAGAGACCATACCGAGTGATTTTTCTTGATCACCGCCCTTCTTCTTCTCGTACAGTGCAATCAACTCCTCCTTCTTACCTTCCACACTTTTGTACAACAGGGAGCTGGCGGCAACGTCATCATCGGATACCGGCCCAATATCGACAATGTGCGTGTTGTCCGTCAGCCAAAGATGGAGACTGCCCTTTTCTTTTTCTTCTTTCTCTTTCTCTTTAGAATACACCGGCAAAGTGATGAGCATCACGTCCCTGTTATCGCCAATCGTAGCTGTGGTGAACCCGCTCCCAACGCCCTTCTCAGGTCCCGTGTGTTTGTTGCCCCACACGCGCGAGAGTGTCCCGAGTGCCTCCGTCCACGACTCCCCCTTGTCACCGGACTCGTACACCCTGCGGCGGCCATCATCACACGCAGTCATCATCATGAGTTTGTCCTTCTCCCACTCCACGACGGAGGGATCACTGCAGCCATCGGCAGACATCCCCTTCGGCAGCTTCCAACCCTCATTACCCGTGGAATATATGACAAGTGAAACGGTGTCTGTTACTCCAGCTGCGCCATTGGACTTAATGCCTTCCACTGGGAACACAAGCGTACCGTCCTCCATCTTAACATCCGATCCACCGCTGCCAATCAGCCGCATCAAAGATTCGTGTTGTTTGACTTTATAACTCCACGGGATAACGTAAGTGTCATTCCAGTAAATTCCGTTATTTTCTCCTTCCTTATTACTGACGTTCCCTTTCACCAGCATGAGTCCCCAGCCACCTGCCTGATCATCAGAGGCACCTTCAAAACTGTAATTTCCAACAAGCATGTAAATATCACTTCCCTGCACAACTGTTGTTGGCTTACTCACATGTATTCTCGTGCCGCTTTTGGTGCCAGCCTGGTCCGCTATACGGCAGGAGCATTCGCCTTGTTCGGACGGACATTCCTCCAGCACTTGTGTCTTCAATTCAGTTGTGTCCAACTCCTTGCTTGCTTGTTCATCAGTCCACTTCAGAAGCTCCGAGGCAATCCCAGTAAAATCTTTATTAGTACCGTCCTTGCAATGCGCCTCGGCAGCGGCAAACACATCACTCCCCACTTTCAAAAGACTGGGAACACGGAGCGAGCTCACTGTTTCTTCATCTTTCTTACCTCTCCAAACATAATGTTTACCCTTTGAACATTCCGGGGATGACGCCTCACCAGCAGCCGCAGCTCCACTAGTGCCGCAGCACTTCATCACAACGAGGAAGAGCAGCACCGCAGAATAGAAAACACGCCGGGACATGTTGGGCCTCTGCGGCTCACTCTCCCTTCCTCCCCTCCTCATGCCGCTGGATCCGGTCACGCGGCGACGGTTGTGTGTGCGGGGTGCCTTCACTGCAGCAACACGTGAGAGCATATAAATATGTGTGTGTGGGCGGTGTGTGTGCTGTTGGTCCTTTCAGCGCCTTCAAAGTTCACAGTGGCGATCCGCTCTTGGTCGTAGCTTCCTTCCTAGCCTGAGTGTGTTTGTGTGCAAGAAATAAAATTAAAATCTAAAAAGCATCAAAACAGGACGTGGCAAAGAAGTGGGTGGCGCCACCATTCACGGCGTAACACATCCGCTTCGTCGTAACCGCCACAGTAATTACCCTCACCGTCAACAACGGCCCAAAAAGTGTGAGGCCACACACAGAAGCAGAGAAGTTGACGGTTGCGCACGGGCCAAGACGCCCTCCGGCAAACGGCACCAACCAACAGACAGAGAGGAGAAATTAAAGGCAAGCAGAATCCCAAGTGCTGCGGGATCCTTGCAAGCACCGCTCCCTCACTGTAGAACCTTTAAAGCGTTCCTCGCTGCAACATCCCCCACCACCCCTCGACGTGTCGGTGGATTTTCCCGTTCACCGGAAGAAAAACGGCGGGATGCTCCGGCAGTGGTCGAAGACACACAGAGCGCGCCGCCGACGCGATCAACGGGCGCAGACACTCGTGAAGTGCGATCCTGCAACCGCGATCCCTCCATCTACTCTCCTGGGCGTGGAGGAGGCATGAAATGTCCTCCTCTCTACAGTATTCCTGAAACGCAAAAAAAATCCACAGGACATCCCGCGCAGCCACGGCCTCCTCAGCAGCCCGACAGTCCACGCCGCCGCACCGCTCCTCAAGAGGTCGCCAGGCCCGGTAAGGCAAGCAAAAGGAGACCAGCATTTTGGTCAGGGCGTCCAGAAAAGTGAGGCGCAGCGGTCGGGTAGGCGCGGCCCATCCACGTCCTCCCCTCAACGGACCCACCACACAGTCGAATCACACACCCGAAAAGAGCCGTGGTGCCTAACGAAATAGCATGGTCAATAGCACCTCGTACTCTCCTCAATGTGGTGTCATGGCACACACGAGGCATCACAGGAAGGGCAAATAGTTGCATTCCATCGGCACAAGCACGGAAGTAAAGCGCGCATTCTTCCCCTGTGAACTTCAATCCAAATCGTCTCGGCCACTGAGTTTGTGTCGCCGACCCTCAGGAAGGGCTGATGCATCAACTGCCGCTGAACGATCCCCGGCGATGAAACAAAAAGTGCCACCGTCTCTCGAATTCCGTCGTCACCCATTCCTCCCATTGAGGGAAGGGAACGCAATGTAACGGTGTGGACGTGTCTAGCCGACAGAAATGGAGGAATTGACTCCAGCCGCGGAACAAGTTGGACGGATCCTCCTCCCGAATCCTTCAAAGGGACCGGTCGTTCAGCTGCCGAGGTTGACGGCGCGGAGGACAACACCTTGAATGTGTGGAGCACCGCAGCAACCTGAATATATTCTGCAATATCCGCGGCCAGTTCATGAAAGTACAAAGAAGGGACAGCAGGTTCAAAGGGGCGTGTGAACCCGTCAGTGATCACCCGCGCCGGAGGATCGCCACCCCACCCTCCAAGGGCACCTCAACGACGTCAAATATTTCCACCGCACGGCACCCACAACACAATCGCGTGGCACAATGCATCGCCTTGCAGCACCCCATGCAATGCGGCAATCGAAAACCGTCTCGAACACGGCGTGCGAAAAAGGTACTGAAAGAAGGCGCAGCAAATACCCTCCACATCTCAGCAGCTCCAATCATCCAGTAAAAGGCAGGAGCACCAGACAGTACCCACGGACTCACCGAATATGGCATCAAAAGGCAGCGAGATGCCAGATGCCGAAAGGTCCGCATTTCTTCCCCGTGACACTTCCACGGATGAGTGCAAATGCCGTGCCCTGCGGCCTCTCGACCGCTTCGAGACAACGTTGCGGCCACATGGCGACGGCTCAATGTGGCTGGCGATCAGATCCAGTCGTCGCGGCAAAACAGTACAGAGAGTAGGGTGGTGAGCCCACACATTCGCCTCGTTGATGCCTGCCTCCACCGCAAGAGTGAAACACGTCTTCCCAACAGCCGCGCTTCGGGTGGCTGAAACACATGCCCTCACACCGGCGATGGCATCTGCAAGCACCTGTAATTCCTCAACACCGCCCGTCAGAAAAAAAACAACGGCGCTCACACCCTGCAGCCACGCATCCCTCGTAACCATTTGCAAACTCGTTCTCCTGCAGAAACGCCTAAAAATAAATAACAAGAAGGCCGTTCATTGCTGGCAAGGGACAAGAGCGCGTTGCTTTCATCCTGCAACGGAGGACTATGCCTCCTGCGTAACGCGGCCACAAGTACGCGGTGCACCAACACCGAAGCGGTGGGCATGTTGCCCCATGACCCTCCCCCTCCACAGGAGCCCAAGAAGTGCAACAGACCATCCTCTCACCAAAGAAAAAGCCCAATGGAGCGGACACTGCAGTGTGCGCGGACCACCCAGCAGAAACACCCTCAGAGAACGAATGCTCTTGAATGCCCTTCAGAAGGGGCCAGCGGGATGGCCGTAAAGCCAACAAACACCGGAGAGCCACCTGCCCTGCACGCATCCAATGACGCAATCGAGCGCGCAATCTTACAGGGCACATCAACCAGCCTGTTCTCGTCTCCGTCTGTGCGGGCACGACAGTCCTGCCATCATCCTTCGCCCTCACAAAGTATTCCACAGGGTCCTTTGAGCCAGACACCACCACACGGCGATATGCCACCGGACGAGTGCTCTCCATACCGCACAAAATAAAATGTTCCCACGTCGAGGACCGCAGTGAAAACGAGCATAACGATGAGCAACACGAGGGTTGTCTGTGCCCTGACTCATCACAACACTCTGTCCTCCGTTGGTTCAGGTCTCTGCCACACGACGAGGCACAGATGTAACATCATTTACACGCAACAGAGTGAAATACGCAAGAACAGATTCATGCAGGACGCAACAGCCACCAGCTCGGTCAGCAGCTGTTGTGGTCATATTCTGTAAACCATGATTCACGTCCACAGAGAACTTGTTGTCCAGTTGCACAAACATTTGATGGGCCAAGCAACGTGGGCCCATGAACGACAACGCCAGTCGATATTAGGCCTTGGAGCCGCCAGTGAGAGCCATTGATTGGAACAAACAACAAAGCCACCAACGGCCAAAAAGAGCTGCGACAAGGCATTAGTACTTCAATCAAAGAACGGATTCGTCTCGTCCAGGAAGAAGAAAGAATAAATAATATTTTTCCTCCTCACAGTGCCTTCCAGCAATAAAACACCATCATGCGATCCGCCCCTATCGGCATTACTCAGGAGCACGAGGCCTCTGCAATGTGTAGAGGGCCATGCAATCAGGCAAATGAGATGCTCCACGGTGGCACTCAGACTCCTCCCAGGCAACGCATCAACCAACCGCGAGCAGCATGCCTCTTCATGGACTCTCCGTTTTGGTTCCAACCGAGACGGAAGGCCTTCGTCGCTCAGCACCAACCCCGCGTTGCGACGTGTCGTCAGATAAAACAAGTGAGGATGGCAGAGTGCATCATCGGGGAAGTCGCCCTCAAATGTGGGAAACGGCATCGCATCCGCCGGAAACAGGTGCGCATGATGTCCCTCCACGTCAGCCGCGCAGCCTGTCGGATGAAGGAAAATTCGGTGAAACGGAAGTCAGCGCACTCACCTCCACCCCAGGCAGTTTTATCAGGAAGATCGAATCATCAATTCGGGGCTCCAAACTTCTTGAGGAATATCGTGACGCTCTGACAATTCCACGTGCATTTCCACACAACGTCCTACTTCCTTTTCCCCCTCTGCATGCGCCCGCATCGTCTCTTAAAACACATCCAGGACAGATTAGATAGCATGTGGCACCTGGTCAGCCAGTGCCGTTCCATTCCTTAAAGCAAGGAAGCTGAAAGCCTCAAAATCACTGGCCATCAATCAGTGATGCCGTTGGCACAGGACCTCCTCGGGCCAACGCCACACACTTGTTCCGGAGCACATGTTATCCCATGCCTCGCTGACGCCACCCTCAGCATCCCCTACAGGTACACCGTGCATTCACTCCCAAAATACAGGTGTGGGCCACACCTCAAGAAAACTGCACAATGCGCCTGCAAACTGCTCGTTGAAAGTTGTCGTGTTGGGTGTCAGGGGCAACGCACTCACACGTCGCAGCTCCTCAGGAGATCAAGAAGGTGGCAATCAGCATTCAATTGGGATGGGCTTCGCAAACCTATTGCGACTTTTGTCCGATGGGGTGCTTCAGTGCATATGAAACCTTGACCGCGGGACGGAATGCCTATGCGCTCTAAAAAGTAAGCAGGAACTCACGGGAGAAGGATACATAATATAGCGGAAGCAAAATGCCACGAATAAAAAAGAACGGTGAAAAATTATATTGAGGGATATACATATGAAAATAGGCGTTGATCAACGTGTAGATATATCGATATGGGTATGAGCATAAAAACGATACTTTATTCATTGATGCATCTGTATAGATATGGATGTATCCCTTCGTTTCCCTAAAATTTGACAGATTGCTTGGTTTCCTGATTTATTGAATTGCCATTTTATTGGCTGCACATGTATGTAGATAGGCATTTAGATGTCAGTACTAATATCTATTCAGCGCTGTTGATATATATATATATTGCTACTATTCCTCGTGTCTTCTCAAATAAATACGAAGGTCCACACGCCAGCCACCATCGCAGAGCACGTCCACCCAACGATCGGAGATGTGAAAGAGAGCCCGGCACCCGAAGTGGGAGCCGCAGCGGAGGCCGTGAAGCACACACCACCGCTACGCACCCGCCCCGGGGACAGCGCGGTGGCTCGATGATCCGTTGCCGCCAAGAATCAATAAAACAACAAATCACAGAACCAACCAAACATGGACGCTATAAATGAGAAAAGGAAGAAGAGGACAGCCTGCCAGGAGAAAATACGGCCTGCCGCATCTGCGAGGGGTCTCGTGCCTTCTCGCCGCGCGGAGATACCGCTGGGGCAGAGACCTTCCACTTCAAAGTGGAACCACA